ATAAGCCCCCCCCCCCCCTTTCCCAAATCCATAGCAGATCTTTATCCTTCATAAGGCTCTGATATGGATTTTGCTAATTTGTTAGACCAGCGCTTGAATACTCATGTGTCTCTCAATCAGCGCTGGTCTAATATACAGTATTTGAATAACTCACCTGCCATGGGGCAGAGGGTTTCCAGCTCCTGGGACTGTAGGAGAAGAATAACTCTAGTGCGCTAATCTATTAGACCCATATCTGATATGGATTCAAAGGGGAAACCCAGTCAAAAAGACTTGCCCCTGCCCCAATCCTCAATAATTCATGTTGATGGGGACCAGGGCCTCATCTCCATATCCCGGATCCAGTGGATATGGGAGTCTGCGGGGGAAGTTATTAGAATATGGAAGACCCCTTTAAATTAAGGGGACACCAGATATCCTCTCCACTTCTCATAGAACCCCTTTGTACTCATTCACAGTAAGTAAATAAAGACACCCACACTGCCAAAGCCCCCCTCAACACTGGTAGTATGTCAACAGCCACGGCGAGGGGATCCCTCCTGATTTAAATTTTGTATCCTTATAGTGTGTGGTGGCTGCTAGGGGTGCTACAGGACGGGTGGAGGGAGTTTTTCTGGTGCTCAAGCAGCAGAAAATACTCTTCTAGCACCACCAACGGAGACGTCATAGGTTTACTTATTATTATTATACAGGATTTATATATATAGCGCCATCAGTTTGCGCAGCGCTTTACAATATAAGGGAGACAGTACAATTACATTACATTTCAGTACAGAAGGAATGTGAGGGCCCTGCTCATGGAGCTTACAATCTAAAGGAAGGGGGAGATGATACAAAAGGTGATAGCTGCGGGGGATGATTTGCTGGAGGTGATTCAATTACAGTTCTTAGGTAGAGGTGGAGGTGGGGTAGGCCTCCCTGAAGAAGTGTGTTTTCAAAGATTGCCTAAAGGCAGACAGGGTGGGGGCTGACCCGACATGCTGTGGTAGGGAGTTTCAGAGGATGGGAGAGGCTCTGAAGAAGTCCTGGAGGCGAGCGTGGGAGGAGGTGATGCGGGAGCTAGAGAGAAAGATATCATGGGAGGAGCGGAGTGGGCGATTTGGCCGGTATCTGTGGATGAGGTTGGCGATGTAGCTAGAGGCAGTGTTTTGGATGGCTTTGTAAGCTGTGGTTAGTATTTTGAAGTTTATACGTTGGGTTAGTGGAAGCCAGTGGAGGGATTGGCAGAGAGGGGCATGTAATACTACTGCCAAATGTGACCCATTCAAGTAAATAGGGTCGTGCCACAACTGTCCTGCAATCGGATGTGGTGCAGTGGTGTGGGCCTTACAGGGTAAATATAGGAAGTGAGGAGGTGACATAATTTCTCCCAGCCACCTGTCAAACACCCACTGAAAAGTGATCCACCACAGACCACTCTTAAGAATTCAAAGCATGTGTAAACAGGCCCTTAAAGGTTTGAGGCTCTGTCATGTATTTATTACAGTCCATGATTCCTCTGGGGTGATTTGTGCCTACTTCCTATATCAGTGACAGGTATCACGATGACAGGTAATCTCAACAGGGACACCAACAGCAAAGAAAAAACCTAAGAAAGGTTCTTATCCTTCCCCACATCGCTGTAACTGCTAAATTACTGTTATTTAAATTAAGTGCTGCCCATTGACACAGCAGGCCCACCTTGGTTTAACAGCTATCTGAAATTGCATGTAGTCTCGTAAAGTGAAGTCTGCTAGCCTGTATTAGTTTTATTGTATTCTAAGAAATAACATCCACAGGAAAAAAAAAAATGCACACTGAAAGTTATTAAAATTCACCTTAGGGTTCTGTGACCTCTATATATAGAAACTGAAACACGCATACTGCGCCATTTCATCAATTTTAAGCAAAACCGTTAAAAAATTATTCTAATTGAAGGAAATAAATATGATTAAGTGTACGATACATTGAACAATTGTTCCAATCTAGTAATTGTAAGTGTTTCCAAAACAGTAAACCAATCGACAATACAATTGTAAATAAAATTGTTCTGTGTATGGATACTATTATAAAATGTGAAGATCCTGTGTAGCATTTATTGCAACAAGTGTACAAATTAATATAGCTTCAACATTTGTGGAAGTTTTAATGTTTTGAGTGATGAATGGACATTGCTTGACAGTCAGTTGAGGTAATCAATCAAATCAAAGAAAAGAGCAGAAATCAAAGAGCAGAAATTTGTCAATTAGGCCCCTTTCATGGGAGGATTCCGTTCCCATCAGCATGGGATCTGTAAGCTGATCCCCTGCTGATTGGAGCATATTGGGCGGATGACACATCTGTGTCCATTCAGTATCTGCAGAGTGGACATGGCCAGAGCCCACTCTGCTCTATAGGCAGCCGGGAGTAAATGGATTCCACTGTCTGTTTACACCCAGCTACCTCCGGTCTGGTCCACCTAAACGGAAGAGTCCTCTTACGGTTTTCTTTTTCTTTAGTGGATCCGATCGGACCTGGAGGTAGGTGTTTGTAAATGGACAAAAGTCTGTGTACACCCACCTGTCCATAGGAAAGCATGGATCATCCAGTGAGGTCCTGAAAAACTGACAGATGGACCTGATCAGAGTGGGGCATGTGAAACTAAGGGGTCTTAAACTAAAGAAAGAGGTTGTCAGAAAACACGTGTATCTCTTTCATAAGGCCGCATTCATGCCTAATATATAAGCACCTGAAATAAATAAATACCTGAGTGTTCCAGAAATGTGAAAAAAAAATACACGTTTCTGCCCGTATTTTCAGAAATGTGCGAAAACCGTAATGAATATACTTGAGGTGCCATTATTTCTCACTGCACCCCAAATGTGGGTAGCAGTCCCAACATTTTGTTGTGCATTTTTCACATGAAACGAGAAAAAACTGCAAAACAATGGAAACGCAAAATATGTTTGGTTCAATGCCAAAAAAGGTACTTGAACTACTTTGGCATATTTTTTGCATGTAGGGCAACTCATTCAAGTGCATGGACTGCCCTATGGTAATGCACCAAAAAATGTGATGCGTTGTTCATCTGTGAATGCGGCCTTAGCCACATAGGAGCTGCATGAAAGATGCTGTTAAATGGGATGCTATTACAAATCATTGGGCCCCATACAGAGTGACTGACAGGCCCCCAGCCTGCCTGTTCAAAAAAAGTGAGTAAATAGTCCCATATCTGTCCCCAGCTCCTGCTGCTAAATCAATGGGGCCTGGAGAATTTTATCACTGGGAGCCACTGCCCATGGAATTACTGTTCATATACCCATAGGCATTGAAAGAATACAGGAGGGTCGGCTCTATTCCCCCCCAACCCACCCATCAGCGGCTAGTGAGAGATCCCACACAGAATGTAATCCCCTGCTATAACACACGGCACTGACAAAATCAACAAAGAGAACCAGTCACTATAAAAATGCAGGGATAGCCAGCCTCCATCTATTGCCACTTTTCAAGCATATTGTTTTCCACACCTCTCCAGATCTTAAAACCCAAAAATAACATACAATATAATGCAGCTAGATGTTGTATATAATGGTCTCTAGATGTTGTGGGTGTATTCTTTTTTAAACATTTTTTCTTTATTTTCACCTGGTTGTCCTGCCAGAAACTCACTTCCTGTTCCAGGGGGCAACACTCATCGCACTGCAATTGTTAAAGTGGTTTTAACCACTTCCAGTCCGGACACTTTTACCCCCTTCCTGATCAGGGCAATTTTCAGCTTTCAGCGCTATCACGCTTTGAATGACAATTGCACGGTCATGCAACACTGTACCCATATGAATTTTTTTACCATTTTTTTGAGACAGATAAAACTTTATTTTGGTGGTATTTATTCACCACTGGGATTTTTTATTTTTTTTACTATGTAAATGAAAATGTTCAAAAATTTTAAAAAAATGTGTTTTTCTTATAAAAGTTTGCAAATAAATAATATTTCATCATAAATCTTGGCCAAAATTTATTCCGTTATCTTTTTAGTAAAAAAAAAATAAGCCAAATTAGTTTGTAACCAAAAATTATAATTTTTAAACATTTTTTTTACATTTTTATTTTTTTTTTATATTATTATTTTTTTATTTTTTTTTACTTACTGTCACCCTAGCAGTACAGTGTCACCATCTACTGCACTACTTTTGGGGGGTGATGAAGATTTTTTTTTTTTTTACACTGATTGCTTTTACACCCATATAGGATGTAAAAGCAATAATTTCTCTTTCTCTCTGTCTGCATTCTTGGAGCCATTGAGAACTACTGAGTGAGCTGTGATTGGTCACAGCTTGTCACATGGTACAAGGGTGTTGTGAATAGCCTTGTACCATGTGACCTCTGTGATCATTCACAGATTCACATGTAGTAAGCAATGCTGTCACAAGTGACATCTTGCTTACTACTTTGCATGTGATCACTGATTGGCCAATCAGTGATCACATGATCGGGACCTCGTACAGAGGTCCAGTCCGACGATCGGTGTTCACTGTGTCCAGAGGACACAGCGGGCACCTGATTGCGGTGCAGCGCGCTCCCGGGGAGCACGCACAAGCAGGGTGCGGGGAGGCCGTTTATAAACTGCCACCCGACCCTGCAGTGTCACCGTCTGGCCATCCGGCCATTTATATACAACGGCCAGTCGGGAAGTGGTTAAAGACAGAAGGTTTTAACCTTCTGAATGCAGCTCTTCCCCCCAGCCCCCCACCAAAATACTTACCTAAGCCCTATCTCGATCCAGCGATGTGCAAGAGAGTAGAGGCTCATAATGGACACGAAGAGCAGGGTTTGGGAGCGAGCGCGCAGGAGTGCCCCATAGCAAGAAGCTAGGAGCACCAGCAGCTGGCCCAAGAAGATAAAGATCGGGGCTGTTCTTTGCAAAAGTATTGCACAGAGCAGGTAAGTATGACATGTTTGTTATTTTAACCTCTTCCCATCTGCCCTAAAGAAGAAATACTGCTACAGGGTGGCATGGGTGCACAAAATCATGTATATATACGTGATTTTGCATTTCCGGGTAGATGCTGATAATTACTCGCCACCGCCCAGTGATTTCCGAAGATCTCCGATGGAGAGGAGGACTGTTTTGTTTACAAACAGCCTCCTCCCTGTCAGCTCAGGCACAGCAGAGCCATCCAGAGTAGTGTGATTACAGTGAAGCACGCTGACATGACACCCTAGTAAAACACTCCCTGCACACAGTTAACCCTTTGATCGCCTCTCATGTTAACCCCTTCCTGCCCAATGTCATTAATACAGTGTCAGTGCTTTTTTTTTTAGCACTGATCACTGTATTGGTGTCACTGGGGATGTCAGTGACACCAAGTCAGTTCCCTCCCAGTGTCAGAATGTCCGCCACAGTCCTGCAGTCCCGTTATAAGTCGCTGATCACCGCCATTACTAGTAAAAATAAAAAAAAATTCCAGTATACATTCCACCATTTGTAAATGCTATAACTTTCACATAAACCCATTACTTTACACGTATTGGGTTTTTTTTTAGCAAAGACATGTAGCTGAATACATTTTGATGTAAATTTCTGACGATATTTGATTTTTAAAAAAATTTTTACTGGACATGCTTAATAGCAAAAAGTCAAAAATACTGTGTCGGCTTTTTTATAGCGCAAAAAATTAAAACCGCACAGGCGATAAAATAACGCCGGAAGAAAGCTCAATTCGTGGGAAAAAAAAGGACGTAAATTTCATTTGGGTGCAGTGTTGCATGACCGCACAATTGTCAGTTAAAGTAACGCAGCGCCATAACGCAAAAAACGGCCTGGTCAGTAAGGTGGGGGGGGGGGGTAAATCCTGGAAAAGTGGATAATAAGCTTGTAAACGAGCATTTACAATCACTTTAAGGAGCAGCTTTGTCACTACATACACCACACCTCTTCTTGTTTCCATTACATAGAAGGAAAGTTTTCTGTAGTTTACAGAAGATAGCTGGGAAGGCTGATTACATTGATTGAGGTTACAGTTCAGTTAACATAAAGTTACAAGAGCACGTGAGTCTCTTGCAAGGGAAAGGAAGGATTCCCGATAGTGGCTGGGACATGGGAGCCTATGGGTGATGTCACTGCTCCTGGATTTTCCATCCCATGTTGAGTGCTCCCTCCTCTCCCCTGCAGCAAATGCTGATCAGTGTAAATTACCAACAAACCCCTCTGACAGAAGTAAATTAAGCACCTGACTTTTGTCAAGCTTGGGAGCCCACACACTGATTGAAATGCGGCTAGTCCCTTCTGGACCAGCCAAAATTTCAATCAGCGTATGGCCAGTTTCAGGCTGAAAAAAGAAAACTAATGCAGCTGCCACTGCCACATCACAAGAACTGATGAATTGCAATGTATTACATTTTTCATTGGGATTATCTAAACTTTAACTACTTCAGTCCCAGCCTGTATACGCCCCTTTATTACCAGAACATTTTTCAATTTCCAATGCTGTGATAGTCTGCTTGATATTTACTCCGTCATGCAACACTGGACCCAAAAGAATGTATATAATTTTTTGAAAAAGCACTTTATTTTCATGGTATTTAATAACCACTATTTTTTACTATATTAAAGGAAATAGAAACCTGTTTCCCTTACTTTCTGTTAAAATAAAAAGCCAAACAACTACAAATACTTTCAAAATGACTTCTTAGAAAGTAGACACTCCAAAATGATCTAATTTTTCAACTTTCTTTTTTTTAATGAAGAAACGTTCTGGTATTGAGGTGGGTAAAACATCAAGCTTGGGAATATGGGCATGAAGGGGTTAATGTGCAGATGTGCATGATAGGAGGGGTGAATGGGTAATTTACAGGTAACATAGTGAGGCAAGCTGGAGATCAGATGTATAGAACAGATGGGGGAAGGTGAAAGGCTTAAAAAACTGTCCTTATCTGCTGCTGTTGTTTTTTTTGTATGTTACTCTGAAACCAATGAATGACTCATTCAATTGTTTTACCCACTTTCCAAAAGTGAAGGGCTCGCAGATGTAGATACTACACTGTTTATATGTCAGGACCTGGATCACCACTGTGCTTCCCAGAGTGGAAAGTCATAGTTTCGGTGTCCACCAGCAGGTGTGTCTGAGCAGCCAGCAGATCCCAGTAATCAGTTTCCACCTAATGCTGGATGCTGGGAGGGTATTTAGGTCCTCTCTTATTAGTTCCTCCCATTCCAGTATTTTGCTCTATTGCCAGATACTGTGCAGCATTTATTCTGATCCTGACCTTGTTCCTGCCCTGCATGCTGTATCCTGCTGCCTCTTATCTGCTCCCCTTGTACCTGATCCCAGTCCTGGTTTCCCTTCCATCTGTTCCCTGCATCTCCAGTTTACCTTGTTGATCTGTGTTCCCTGTTTGGGGACTCTGTACACAGTGCCATAGAAGGCTCCATTCACAGACATTGATGGCCACACTGGCTGTATGACAGTGCTTTGTCCAGTGCCATTTATAAAAGCCACTGGATGAATAATCGTCCATCACTTTGCTGTCACAAATTAAGATGTAGAAAAAGATGACCCAGAGATATAAGCAGCTTGAAGTAGAACATTACTCAAAAATTGAACTATCGCTAGTTCATTGTCCGTCCACATCCTGAGTTACCGGGGGGACAAGTACCTATTTTTATCAATATCCGCTTCCACTTCTGCAATCCTCACCCAGGCAAGGATGATGCTGCTTACCCTGCCCCTTCCCCTCCCACAGCCTCCTGAGATATATCACTTGTCCCAGGAGGTTTCCGGACAATTCAGAGTGCTGCGTGAGCTCACACTCATGGGCAGTAGGAAGCTAGTTGTGGTTCCTCAGGAAGTCGCAGCCAGCTCCCATATCAAAGATGGCACTGCCAGGCACCCACAGAGGTAAAACTGAGCCGACTGCAGAAAGATGGCACTGGACTCCAGGCACTGGTAAGTACATGATTTTTAAAAGTCATTTACTACAGTATTTGTAGCTGCTGACTTTAAAAAAAAAAAAAAAAACCCAAAAATTGAAGTTATTTATGTAAAAATTTTACATTCTCCTGTACGTATCACCTTGGACCCACTCCCTATAGGTCCTTTAATGTAATGGGCTTCCACACTGATCAATATCATGGATTAGGAGGCATAAAATAACTGGGCCAAGCCCAAAAATGACATGACAAGCAGTATTTGCATACAAGCGACTGACCATTTAGACATGCTGTTTTCACTGAAGGTAATCTTTGGTTATGTATTTTTATTAATATAAATTGCAGTTTGGATTGCCTGTGTTGGTGACAGGTTTACTCTGACAAACTGAAGATCACTTGTAGTATTGCAGAAAATAATATTTATTAAATGAAATTATAAGAGAAATATAGGCACTACCTTATTTTAAGCTATGATGGGTTTACATTATGTTTCTAACCAGTTTTTTTTTACAGTAGCTGTAGTAAAAATTGAGCTGGTGTGTGAATTTTCTTATATCTCTGGTGGGAAAAAATACATAATCATATTTAAAGTGGAACCCCAGCCAGGACTTTTATTCAATGTTTATTCAATGTTGTACAGAGTGGAAAAGGGTTAGAATGTTTTCAAAGTTCTGCTGATGTTTGCTGTTAGAAACCAGGGGGCCCATACAGCCAACATGACAGCCCCCTAAAAAAAAACCCAGTTTACTATGCTTCAGTTAAGAATGAACACAGTGGGGTTCACAGCTGCACCAGATTCTGAATCAACCAGTTTTAGTAAATCTCCCCCAGTGAGTGATAGGTACCCATCACGCCTTGTGTTTATTCAGGAAAGGACTGGAAAATGTGACATATTTACTGGACCCTTCCCCTACTCTCCATCCTGAAGGATCCTATTGTGTGCTTGCAGTTTCCAGTGGGAAGGAGAGGAGGGAAGCCGGGAGCATTTGGGAGATGAGGCACACAGGGGGCCTGGGCAGCAGGGGGAAATGTATGATGCACAGGGAGGGTGATGGGTGCAGCGGGGGGGGGGGGCAATTACTGTATTCCCCTGTATGACTCTCTCTGCAACAGTTGAAAGCTAGCAGGAGGGAGAGAAGAAGAAGACAGCTTTCAGCCCCTTCAGAGAAAGTCAGACAGGGAATCGGTTCCAGTAATTGGCCCCCGCCCACATCTGATTCACCCAGCTGCCTGGGCCCCCCTGCTGGTCTGGGCCCCATATAGGAGGAGTGGTGGTATCCCCTCTAATCCCCGACCCTGGCTGTCTATATCCCCACTGCAGAGATTTTCCTAATTTCCTGTTTTACTGACACCACCCAAAGTGATGGGAAATCTCCCCAACACAGCAAAGAAAGCAATACATTTGGACAGGGGCTCTATTCCGTCTGCACTGCATTAACATTTTTAAAAATATATATATTTTGCCAAAGTCCACCTTTATTTACAAAAATATTGCAAGGTACATTTATTATAGGCAGCAAAAAGATTTCATTGCAGTCATGATGTTAATGCTTAGTTCAAGTGTGTTTGAATGGGTCATCATGTTGACAGTAACCTTGTAATGAAAATTCTGACACATTTTTCATATCTCTCCTTAGGTAATTTTAAGGGTGTGTGCAAACAGATTGACCACTTTCCAGAGGATGCAGATTATGAAGCAGACACTGCCGAATATTTTCTCCGTAAGTCCACTGATTTGTTTGCTTGCCTGTTCACATGAATATATTAAAGCAAGCCTGTGTTTTGCCATTGAGTGCAAAGCAATATGATGGCTTTAAGCAGACCTTGTGCTAAAATGCAATGTCTGGGCCCCTTACTATATAGAAAATCATCTGTTGAGAGTATGTCCAAAAGATACTTGTAAGGTTAAGTTCAAGTGGCGGCCAGGGGTGGTAAAAACAGCCTGCATGCTATATTTTCATTTACTTACATTCCTCTGCTTTCATTTCCTCTAGTTATTATACATGAGGCCCACGGGTCTTCTAAGCATATTGGACATTTTACTGCCTCAAAATGTTCAAACACATTGCTGAAATTACTCACTTATTTTGTATAACACATCAAGAAATGAAACAGCTCTTCGCAGTCTG